ATCTGGCAAAGAGTCATCACCACTCTCAGTGTCTGTGGCGTCAGTCGACCGCTAAAATATCATAGGCCTCCTCAGCAGTGTGCCTTCTAGACATTGTAAAGCTGTAACTTTAACAGTTATTTTTTACTTTTTAAAAACTTTTTCATTTTTTGAACTTTTTTATACCTTTTTCTCTTTTTATACTTTTTAAAAACTTTTCCAAACATTTAGTCCCTAACAAGCCTAACACTCAATATCCCAATTTCCCACTTAATTCCCCCCACTCCAGTTAACTAAAGAATCAACTTAAAATAAATAAAATCAAAAATTGAACAAAATGAACCTTTAAGGGTTAAAAAAAAAAGAAAATTAACCATTGAGGGTAAAAAAAAATAATTAGATCACAGTTAAATACTGTGATCAAAAGGGCAAGGGAAGGGTTCAAACTTTATTTTAAAGTAAAGTACTTTTAAAAATCAGATACACTTTAAACTAAAATGGCACACAATGTTGCAGCACCGATCCATCTCTCTCTCCACTTCTCTACACACACAGAGGTGGAGGACAGAGGATCAGAAATCCCAGCAGCACTGTGATCGCTATAACTGGCTGTCACACAGTGGCGGATCCAGAGCCTGATCTCGGGAGGGGCACTTGTAGATTATTTAAAGAAATAATCCAGACACAATAACCACTACAGCTCAGTGTAGTGGTTATGGTGTCAATAGTGCCGGGACCCCCTCCCACAGTAAGTAGTCAAACCGTTTAAGAACAGTTTGACAACTTACCTGAGATCTGCTGGGAAATGGGGCTGTAGTAGGGCATAGGAGCAGTGGTGTGTGTGAGTGGTGCAATGTGTAAGGGGTGCAGTGTGTGTGTATGTGTGTGTGAAGGTTGTAGTGTGTGAGTGAGGGCGGCAGTGTATGTCAGGGATGCAGTGTATGTGTGGGACAGTATGTGTGTGTAACAGTTGCAGTGTGTGTGTATCGGGGGCAGTATGTGTATGGGGGAGCAGTGTGTGTATGTGGGGGCAGTGCGTGTGTATGAGGGGCAGTTTGTGTGTATAGGGGGCAGTTTGTGTGTATGGCGGTCAGTTTGTGTGTATGGCGGGCAGTTTGTGTGTATGTGGGGCAGTATGTGTGTGTATGTGGGGCAGTATGTGTGTATGTGGGGCAGTGTGTGTGTATGAGGGGCAGTTTGTGTGTATGGGGGCAGATGTGTGTGTATGGGGGGCAGTGTGTGTGTATGGGGGCAGTGTGTGTATGGGAGTGTGTGTGTATTTGGGGGCAGTGTGTGTTTATGGGGGCAGTGTGTGTGTGTGTATAGGGGCAGTATGTGTGTGTATGAGGCAGTGTGTGTGTGTGTGTGGGGGGCAGTTTGTGTGAATGGGGGGTAGTGTGTGTGTATGGGGGCGGTGTGTGTGAATGGGGGCAGTTTGTGTGTATTGGGGCAGTTTGTGTGTATTGGGGGCAGTTTGTGTGAATGGGGGGGCAGTTTGTGTGTGTGAATAGAGGCAGTTTGTGTGTGTATTGGGGGCAGTTTGTGTGAATGGGGGCGGTTTGTGTGTGATACTTGGGGGCAGTTTGTATGTATTGGGGGCAGTTTGTGTGTGAATCTTGGGGCGGTTTGTGTGAATGGGGGGGCAGTTTGTGTGTATTGGGGGGCAGTTTGTGTGAATGGGGGCAGTTTGTGTGTATTGGGGGCAGTTTGTGTGAATGGGGGGGCAGTTTGTGTGTATTGGGGGGGCAGTTTGGCAGTTTGCAGCTCTGATCTCCCTCTCCGGTCCGCAGGCACATTGCACGGCTGGCAGGGGAGGGAGACCGGCGGATTTCTCGGGGGGGGCAATTGCCCCGTTGCCCCCCCCTGGATCCGCCACTGCTGTCACAGCGATCATATGTGCTGGGACAGCACTATTGGCATTTGCTGGTCTGCCTGTGACACTAAGGCACCTAGCAACAGTGTTAACCGCACAATTTTCTGTCAAGGGTCCTTAACGCAAGGACAAGCTTGACGGAAAATGACCGTCTTTGGTTCGGAAGGGGTTAAGAGATAGAAACTATTGAGGACCCTACTCGAAAGAGCGTACAATCTAGAGGAGGTACTAATGTTATTGGCAGCATATCTGAAGGTACAGTTAGGAAGCTTGAAAATTCAGCCCTCATGTTGAATATTACAAATGTATTTATTTTTCCAGTTAGAATGAAAATCTAGCACAGACAAGTTCATGCTTGCTTCACTCTCCTGCTGTAAACAGTATAGTGTGACAATCTATTCATAAAAACATGTAATTTTTGTGCCACGAGTTTGAGTGTGCGCACTGGATTACAATGACCTTTACCACTGCTGTTCTTACATTCCGTACAATGTCAGCAATGAGTCATGAGCAATAAGCACTATAAAATATTTTGTAAAAATGTTTCTACAAATCATTGTTACATAAATGTAACATATAAAATTATTTAATTTCCAAAAAGTTGGTTAATGCAGGGGCAATTTGATGTTTACAATCACAAATATAGTAATACTGCTATTTTATTATTAGCTTTAAAATATAAACTGAAATTATGCTGATTTATATATAAAACTTTGTTTCAAACATAAGCCAGCATGTAAAGAAGGAAAAAGGGTAATTTTCTTGTATAAATCTCTGTTCAGAGATATCTACAAAATTGTAAATCTAATGTTAATTTTAAATGTAAATTTATGTCATGTTTAATAACATTTTTATATAAATATTTGGGGATAAAAACATTTCTAGCATTTTTCATAGACAGGAAGTAGAAGCTGAAAGTAGTTGATGTAACTAACTGGGTTATTTATTAAAGTGAGAATTCAAAATGAATAAATTTAAGGCCAAAGTAGCTGAGCTGAATGCATATCTAACAGAGAATTTCTGCAGTTTGGCTATTTTGACCTTAAATTTGAAAAGGACAACAAAAAAAAGTATAAATACCTTTGATTAACTATGCTGGAAGAATGTTTTGGAAATGCACAACCTAAAAATGCCACCAGAGAATAAAATGCATAGATACGTAATATTTATGATGGGTAAAATTGTAGATTATGCTAGCTTTAGTGTACCCAGGGCCGGACTGAGGATTTCAAAGCAGCCCTGGAAAACAAATCTATGCCAGCCCCATAAGTCATTGTACCATATATTGTCGCATGTAATATGTAAGGCTATGTCTTGACACCCTAGATGATTGATATATATATTGCTTTTTCCAATATAAAATATTGGTCCTTTCAGAGTAAAATTTTTAATTATACAGTAAGCATACTCACATGCAGACACAGACAATCTCACTGACACAAGCTGATTGATACACAGCCTCATAGACAAACAATCGCTACCGATAATTGAGGAACCATTCCATAGAATAGTCGTAGATATCGTAGGTCCCCTTCGGAAACCTAGCCCTTCTGGCAAGAAGTACATTCTAACGGTGATAGATTACACCACCCGCTACCCAGAAGCAGAGGCCTTGACGAATATACACGCAGAGACCGTGGCTGAGACCCTGATGCAGGTTTTCGCCCGAATGGGGTTACCCAGGGAGATCATCTCGGATCAGGGTACTCAGTTCACTGCAGAGGTCACTCAGCACCTCTGGAAATTCTGCGACATTAAGCCTATAATCAGTGCCCCCTACCATCCCCAGACCAATGGGCTCTGCGAGCGGTTCAATGGTACATTAAAACAAATGCTCCGCAAACCACCAACTCACTGCCCCAACTTCCGTCCGATATCACTCCTCAACACCGACGCTAAAATATATGCCAAGGTCCATGCACAAAGACTGAGCCGCACACTACCTCACCTGGTCCACACAGACCAGGTGGGCTTCGTAGCTGGAAGGCAGGGATCAGACAACACACGCAAAGTACTGGACCTGTTGCACAGCACGAGGAGGGGGGGAATCGGGGGCCTTCTGGTGTCCTTGGACGCGGAGAAGGCCTTCGATCGCCTTAGTTGGTCTTTTCTGCAGGCAGTGCTACACAAATTCTCATTCCCACAACAATTCATCAACGTGATTAGAGCCCTATACAACAAGCCCACAGCCAAAGTCGTGACAGCCGGGTTCTGCTCAGAACCCTTTAAGATCACAAACGGGACGAGACAAGGCTGCCCACTGTCGCCTATGCTATATGTCTTAGCATTAGAACCACTAGCAGCCAAAATTAGAGATGAAATCTCCATAAAAGGAGTCACGCTGGGAACCAAGGAATATAAACTAAGTATATTTGCTGATGACATATTTTTGACACTGACAGAACCATTTATTTCACTGCCCAACCTTATGAAACACATAGAACAATACGGGAAATTCTCCTATTACAAACTCAACTTAACTAAAACACAGGCTATGGGGATAAATATCCACAAACAACAAATGGAAACACTAAAGGAGAAATTCCCATTAGACTGGCGTACAGACTTCCTAACATTCCTAGGCCTCAAAATCACGAAAAACCCGGTACACCTTTTCAAGCTCAATTACTTGAGCATTTTATCGAACTTTAAAGACACCCTAAAAACCTGGGAAGGAAAATACATATCCTGGGTAGGCCGTATAACGGCAGTAAAAATGACGCTCCTACCTAAACTCCAATATCTCTATAGAACTTTACAAATTCCACTGCCCAAGAGCTTCTTTCTCACGACCCAAAACTTACTCCTCAGATTCGTGTGGCAAAACAAAAAGATTAGAATAGCCACCAAGATTATACAAAGAGAGGTGAATAAAGGCGGTCTTGGGTTCCCCGACATACAATCTTATTACACTGCAGCAATCCTCCATACAATATCACAGCTTATACCACGACCAGACCAACCACAATGGCTGGAAGTAGAATCCTATTGGGCCCACCATACCACAATCTATTCATACTTATGGACCCCGAAACACTGCAGACACACGACACAGCATCTACTCCCCACATCCCAATTATTACTAGAAATATGGGACTCCGTACAGAAAAAAGTGACGGCCTACCAACCCATACCCCTAGCGACTCCAATGGAGGTGCTGTCCAGGATCATACCAACACTAAATCCAAAAAGTTGGTTAGAGCATGACATTAAACTCATTGAACAGCTATATGATGGGGGGAAATTCATGCAATTCCCGGAACTACAAACCATGTATAACCTCCCCAGCAAGATGCTGTTTCCGTACCTGCAACTTAAGTCATGCCTACAACACACCCGACCCCAAACACTACACGACGAACTTCTCCAGAAATTATCTACCTTTGAAAAAATTTGCACAAACACATTACCCCCCAAAAAAGTGTTATCACTGTGCTATAAAGCCTTGATCCATTCCCAGACTAACATTAAAACCACGTACAAACATGCCTGGCACAAAGAACTGAACCGCACAATCAGTGAGGAACACTGGACAAAAGCATACTCATCACACAAAGGCATCACGTCATGCACTAACCACTTAGAACTCCAAAGGAAAATTTTATATCGCTGGTACCTGGTACCAGAGAGGATTCATAAAATATGGCCAGAATCCTCCACGAATCAATGCTGGAGGTGCAAGCAACAGGTGGGAACGATGTTACACACATGGTGGTCCTGTGATAACATACAACCATTCTGGCGCAAGGTGGGACATCTCATTCAACAAATAACGAACACTAACGTAGAGCCCACGATAGAGATGTGTCTCCTATACATACCGCCAGAAGAATTAACTAGGGTTCAATGGGCAGTCACATACCACATTTTAATATCAGCTGCATTAGTGATAGCTAGATCATGGAAATCACCTACTACACCGAACTTCAGTACCCTCCTTACCCAAATCAACACCAACTGGCAGTACGAATCAATGCTGGTACAACAAAGAGGCCTAAATAAAACAATGGCAAAAGCCAACTTGGTCTGGAAAGAATACTGGAAGGCGAACAAAGATGTTCATACCTCACCACACCCCAAATAACTCACCCGTAACCACAACAACCACAGATATACTTAATGGGGCACCAAAACAGTTTAGAGCCACACCATGGCCCAAGAAAAGAGTTGGCCCCCAATATCCAACTCTGACGAGCAAGAGACATAGCAAATAATACCACGACATAACCCAAGGAATAGGAGGAGCAGTGGGGAGGTGTCTGACACAATTCACCAGTAGCGGGAGGTAGACCAGCCAAACATAGGCACACTCCGGGAGAACAGTAACTAAAAACCAACAGGAAACGAGTCAGGGAACACTCAGGACGCTATTGCCCAACAAGATATACAGGACCCTCTGAACAGGGTAAATGCGGGTGGCAAACCCTCTCACCCTCCCCCCCCCGGCCCCCCCCAGCCATCCTACCACACAGGAGCAATATTGATACTACAATATATGTATGATGTTACTGACAATGCTGTACAATGTGGTTAACCCCTCACTTCCCCTCTTCTTTCTGTACCCCGAATTCTGTGAAAATAAAAATTGTCAAATTGAAAAAAAAAAAAAAAATGCTCCGAACCTTTGCTGAGACCCACCAGGACTGGGAGCGATTCCTGCCTCACCTCCTATTCGCTTACAGGTAGGTACCGCAGGAATCCACCGGATTTTCCCCATTGGAACTATTATTCGGGAGGAGAGTAAGAGGGCCGCTGGAACTAATTAGGGAGCATTGGGAGGGAGACCGGAGCGCAGACAGTACCCCCATTGTACCATATGTGTTGGCGCTCCGAGACCACCTAGAAGCGCTAACTAGGACGGTAAAGGAGAACCTTCAGGTGGCTCAGACGCGGCAGCGCACATGGTATGATCGAGGCGCCAGGGACCGTAGCTTCCAGGTAGGGCAGAAAGTTTTAATTTTAAAACCTGTCCAACATGATAAGTTACAGGCTGCCTGGCAAGGCCCTCATAAAGTGGTGGAACAGAGATGTGACACCACTTATATAATTGGCCCCTGCGCAGGGACTGGAGGGCGACGCATGCTCCATGTAAACATGATGAAGCCCTATCAGGAACGTTCAGAAGAGGTGACAGCTATTTGTGCACCCAACTCTGAGGAGTTTGACAGCCTTCCCCTCCCAGATCTTTTGGGGGACGGTCAGCTGTCTGGAGATTTAGGGGAAGTTGTGCTGGGAGACCGGCTG